GCTTCAATCCCTAAACCGTGGCTTTGAGACCCGCTTCTGTGGTTTCAGCATGTAGTTTAAGGTAATGGGTCAAAGCCGCTCATTGTATTTACTCTGGCCAGTGGGTATTCGATGGTTTCCGATCGTTTGCCTGTGCTTTCTTTGGCCCTAAACCCTAAACCGCGTGCGGCCACCAAGGGGTCGTCAGTACCGGTGGGAGATACTTACTCGTTTAGGGTTTAGGGTTTAGGCAAATAATTATTGGTTCTAGTTCTCGACCGGGAAAGCTACTGTAGGGCCGAGTCGTGTTCGTGGGTTTAGGCTTTCTCTGTAGCTAGGGTTGCTTGTCTGTCTGTGGAGACATCTAAGGCCTACGGGCTTAAAGTGCCTCAAATATATAATTTCGAACCCATGGCTTAGTGCTAGATTTAGACCCTAAAATTTACGTTTTGTGGCTTCAGCTTAAATAGTAGCCCTGAACCCGTTAACTGGCCAGCTACGGCTCTAGACTCTAGGCTTTGAGGTTCAGGGGTGGTCATATATCCCCCAAATACTGCATAACATGCAATTAAGTTTCCCAGCTCAACAGCCACATAAACCTAAAGCTCCAGCTTCATACAGGGTCAATGTATGACGCCAGAACTGTCGAAATTTACAAACTCAGCCACAAAGTACAATCAGGTACTATCCTAAACGAAGTAGTCCTACGGTTCGCCCTACCAGCAGAATACAAATCAACATCTTAAAGTGAGCGATGCTTCCGTACGTTTCCTCATGCAAACCCTTACTTGGGATATCTGCGAAACCAGAAAACATTCCCTAAACACCCTAAACCCTGAACCCCTAAACCCTAAACCCTACCGTGTCTGGCCCAGGAGCATCGACGAAATTGCCGGAACTGCGCCAAGCGCCCTGGAGCGCTGCAAATGGCCTTGGGCTGCTGCGACTCTTTGCCTATTCCGACGAATCCAGGATCTCCAAAATCCCTTGATTAAGGAATATATCTCAAATTATAATTGGGGCCCTAGTATGATTAAAGGATATTCCTTAATCCTGACTCAGTGTAGAGAGACGGTCGGTGTAGAACAAAAGGGTCTCAAGTGTCGGAGCTCTAAAGGCGTATGTGCATAGGCCATGGTGGTGCCAATTAGGAAACCCTGCGGGCTCGAAGTATTTATCGTTTCAGTGCGGGGGCCCTGAAGTGTACTTGGAGGGTCGGGGGACTTAGTAAGTAGGTAGTAAGTAGACTTATAAGTACCCTAAAAGGGATCCTAATTGGGGTTATGGTACTTATAAGTCCCTAAAATAACTAATTACTAAGTCCCCCGACCCTCCAAGTAAGCACCATCATCAGCTTGAATGCATAGCTTGGGAAATCATCACCATGCCTGGTCTGGTGGGTAATAGAACATATGAATGAAGTACTGCTGAATGTACTGCCCAAGTACTAACCCACGGCTCTACTATCGAGACCCATGTAAACATAATTTTGGGTCCTTTCGGGGAATATTGATTGCACACATAGCGACCAACTGCTGCAGCTTGAGGATCCCGACTAAAGAGGACGTGCATCCGAGCATCTCAAAGTCACTAGCCCCAGACCACCCCCGGCCCGCCCAAGCCAACCCAATCCAGAAATTGCAAAATAATGGGGGTCCTTGAAATAAGGATCCTACTATTTACGGTACTATATTAGGGTACCCTATTTTCGGAAACTCCCATATAAGTTCCTGCACAACCTCCCGCCTCCACCCACAGCCCACAGCCCACAGCTCCAGCCTCGAGCCACTCTCCAGTAGAATACGGCAGCGGAAAATTTCAGCAACCAGCTCCCGACGCTCATCCATGCGAAGCAGGGCTGAGTGCTGGATGAGGCTTCGTTGGTGCCCACCTCGACATGCCCAAGAGCTGCTTGCTTCCCATTCCAATATAATCAACAGAGAGTTGATCTGCACGGTGATCAGCTCATCGTTTGTGTACCGGCACGCTGGAAGTTCAGCTCTCGATCGGGTACTGGACACTTGCCACAGGATCTAGCTTCGAACATCACAGCCGGAACAGTCGCTGCTGCTTCAGTGCGGTGCCTCCCTGCATGGCACTTGCACAGTATGTCAGTCTCAGGCTTACTCCATGCTGGTGTAACTGCACAAGCAACTAGACGACGGAACTTCTCGGTAGACAACGGTCTTTCCAAAATGCGGGGGCTCAATATAGACCCTCTGAATAAAGTCCCTTTCCATAGAGCCAGAAGTAGGGTTAAGAAGGGTCCCCTTTCAGGAGTCTCCCTAATTCTACCTACCTTAAACCCCAAACCCCAAGCCCGAAACCCTTTTAAGGGGTCTCCCTAACTCTACCTACCTTAAACCCCAAACCCTTCCCCCCAACCCTTTAAGGGGTCTCCCTAATTCTGCCGAAGACAGACGAGGTTTCAGGTCTCTCTGGCTTTGGGCGTGTAGTCTCGGGAGTCGGATTTCGGAGCTAGTGTAATAGTGCATTAATACTTGGAGGGTCGGGGACTTAGGAAGGTTTAGGGTTTGGCGGTTTAGGGTTTAGGGTTCAGGGTTTATGGGGTGTAGGGTTTAGGGTTCAGGTTACTTGGAGGGTCGGGGGACTTGGCAAGTAATTATTCTATAGACTCATAAACTGTACCATAACGCATGCCATAACCCAAACTAGGATCCCTTTTAGGCTGCTTGTTTTGTCTACTTACTACCAACTTGCTAAGTCCCCCCTCCAAGTACATTGCCTAGGTTTTACATTGTGTAAACCTCGCCGCCAACAGCCCAAACCCGAAACTACAAGCCCTAAGCTGTAAACCCTAAACTAAATCATGAGCCGAAATCCCCCATACAAGTGCGCAGAACACTTTTGCAGAACTGTAAGTGCGCCAGGTGGCTGCAAGTGGTGACCGAACCTTGTGGGAGGGACTCTTAGGATAGTGGATTTAAGGTTCTAGGCTTGTGGATTTAGGGTGTGCGCTTTCGGGCTTTCGTGGGATCCCGGACAAAGCATGTAGTATTTAGAGATTAAATGCTCTAGGGTTTTGAAATCGTGGTCGTACTCTTGCTATTCCTGCTGTTGCTCCTAGTGCGCTTCTATGACGACGACCACTGCTACTACGACTACGACGACGACTACTACCACTGCTGCTACTACTACCTACTACTGCCACTACGACTACGTCTGCTGAACTCCTACTCCTGTTCCTGCTTCAGCTCCTACTGCTACTCCTACTACTGCTGCTGTTATGCTCCTGCTGCTGCTCCTGCTCCTACTACTATCAAGCATTAGTAGCACTGGCACTAGTCACTAGTGAGGTTCGCACATGCACTGGAATGGACATGCCACTACCATCAGTCTTGCTGATCACACGTAACCGAAGAAAGAGCCACTGTTATGAGTAGAGTAATGCACAATTACCGAAAACCCTATTCTGACTACTACAGGCCCCATACACTAAACCCTTATAGTACTAACTCCCCAATAAGCCACAGAAATACAAGTTCAAGCTTCCGTTTTCTACTAAACTATAAGAGCCCATAAAGTTTAAAGGTTGGGTATCGGGGATCCGAGAGTATCCACGGCGACGGCAGCCCACACAACACCACGGCACCCTACACAGCCAAAGCAGAACAGTGGACAACAACCACCGGCAGAACCACGGAGACGCAGAGCAAGCAGCCCCACACCGGCAGCGCCCCAGGAACCAGACGACCGAGCAAAGTGGGAGGGGGCGTTCAACACCATCATCCTGTCGGCAGGCGGCGGCCCGTTGCCCCGAACCTTCCCACCCGAGCTGCCGGTCATGTGGGGGGACATGGGCGTCAACGTGGCGTTCGCTCTGTTCCCTTGCGGGGCGCTGAAGCAGCTCCGATCGACCCGACCCGAAAAGTGGTTGCTTCATGTTACGGCTACCTCGGCGATACAAGACGACAAAGCAGCAGCCCTCCGACCGGGGGAGACCTTTATCCTGGAGTGGAAGCCGGGGAAACGCCGCTGGATGTTAGGGCGGCTGCCGCCGCGTGTTGCGAACCAGTACTACTTCGACTGGGGCTACCAGCAAGCCACCCCCCCCAATACCCAAAATCAATCGCGCTTCCTTGAGGAACTTGGTGTCCGGGCATCGCCACGCGGCCGCCGGCTGCCAGGTTGGTAAGGCCCACCTCCAACACCTGTGCGGACATGGGGTTTAGGGTTTAGGGGTTTAGGGGGCAGGGGTTTGGGGTTTCGGGCTTCGGGGTTCAGGGTCTAGGCTTTGGGCCTTTGGGGTTTAGGGTTTAGGGCTTCGAGGGCCCATGTAGCTTAAGGGCTTCTGTTGGGGCTACCGTGCGGGCTCTTTTCGGGGCTAGTAGAAGTGCCCTTAGGTTTTACTAAAAGGGTGGCTATAGGGGTTCTATGACTTTTTTGGGAGATCAACGGTCCATGTACACAACTTAGTACATACTTTGCCCCCAAAGTACCCATACACAGGGACTACCGTAAGGCCAAAATATACACGACGTGAGTGCATGCACGCTTAGGTTCAGGCTTCGTGGTTAGTTTAATCAGAGCCAAACTAGGAAACTCCTTGTACCCTCAGACAGCAGTGCCTATAGCGAAGCCATCTGCTTGTACCATACATGTTATTCGCTCTTAGGATAACGTCTGAATTTAATAAATTGAAGTTCCGGCTGTGAGGAAGAAAAAACACTATGAAGACAGGGGAGGGCCATTGCAGTAACACATAAGTCCCCAGGCCCTTTCACCTGCATAGTGGTTTGCTACTGAGGTTCAAAACAGTATATAGGTGCATACAACTTGCAAACATATCTGTATTGACATTCTTATGTGCCGTGGCCCGTGGAAAGTATCCAATTACTGAAGTTGGTAGCTGGGCCTCTGGTCTCAACATCGATACAATCCGTTTCAACCCTGTAACACCCTACACCCTCCAAACCCGAAACCCAGAGCCTGGATCTACCACAAATTTTCAACACCAAGCCCACCGAAAAAGCATAAACATAGCAAAAACCAAGTCCCGCCTCAGCCGCGAGCTCCGCGTCGTCATCGCCTGCGACGATGACGAGGCCGTCCACTGTCTTGCCCTGCTTGGAGGGTCGGGGGACTTAGTGAGTCGGTAGTAAGTGGACTTATAAGTACCCTAAAAGGGACCCTAATTTGGGTTATGGTACTTATAAGTCTATAGAATATAGAACAACTACTTACTAAGTCCCCCGACCCTCCTAGTGAGAAGCGGATTTGCTTCGTCAGGTTTATGCTGGAAGGACCGCTCGAGGTTTCTTTAAAGGCCCCTGTATGGACTCCGTTTAAGTTTCACTTCAACATGGTTCCCTAAGTACAGGGACAGATGTTGATATATAAAGATTAAGTGTATATATATATATATACATATGTATATATATATATATATGTATATAGTGCAAATCTGCATATAGATAGGCATAGATGCAAACACACACACACACACGAACGATTGCAGCACTTGGACCCTTGAGAGTGGCTTGGACTTCCGGCTCGGGGGCTTCGGGCATCTTAGGTTTATAAAATCTAGGATGCCCAGTAACCTAAGAATAAAATGGGCTCCCTTTTTTGGTATTGGGTAACTTTATAAGGAACGTAGAACTACAAAAAGGGAATAAGGGTACTAGCATCCTAGACATGCATTTGTTCATGCCTGCAGCCCAAGCAATCTCTGTTAGAAGGGCTCCTCAGTATGCATCCCGTAGAGGGGATAAGGGCTGTTCCGATCCGAAAATACTTCTAGGGTTTCGTACTATGGCCTGACCCTACACCCCACAGGGTCACGGAATTGCTGAGGTGCTGGACCATATCTGGTAATGACCCTACACCCTAAACCCTCCTCAGTCCCCTGGAAACCCCAAGTCTTACTGCACTACACATAAAACCCTATAGTTACTTCTCCAATAATCCGCAGAAATACAAGTTTTAGCTTTCAGGCTTTCAGGTGACTACTAAACTGTAAGAACCTGAAAAGTTTGAAGGTGCGCATTTCAGACTCAGTCTAAGTATAAAGCCTAAATAAGAATTCAGAAACCCATGTGAAGAACCTAAACACAGTAGATTGCTGGATCACATCCAGATGATAAGCCTAGACAACGGTAGACGTTGCCCTTAAGCCCTTAACCCTAAAGCCCGAACCCCTAAACCCCAAAACCCTCAACACAACCCCTAATCCCCAAGAACCCTTAACCTTAAACCCCTAAGCCCTAAACCTCAGAACCCTGAACCCCCTAAACCCTAAACTAACCTTAAACCCCTAAACCCTATACCCTAAACTAACCCTAAACCCTAAACCCCTAAACCCTAAACACCTACTGGCGAAGTCGCATGGTCCGAAACAGGCAAGTCCGCCTAAAACGCTGCATCCCAAACAATTCTGGAACCTTTCCATGGCCCTTCTCACGGTTCAGGGTTTGGGGTTTTCGAGTTTAGGGTTTAAGGTTTTAGAGTTTAGGGTTTTAGGGTTTAGGGATGTAGAGTTTAGGGTTTAGGATGTAGGGTTTATGCATGCATCCATTGCGGACTGTCCCGAAGCAACCACTTGAGGACTGACTACGTACAACACTGCGCCTTCAGTGTGCCTGACGGTGGGCACGCTTATGCGCATAAAAGATCTCATGAGGGGACCGGAAAGGGATCTGTGCCGCAACCGGTTCCTGTACAACTGTATAGCCCTCCTTGAGAACCTGCCGGTAGAGTCGGCCAGTGAAGTGCCGAAACAAACTATCACACACCACTCTTGCCGTATGGTACTGAGGCCTCATGCGCAGTGCTGGGACTTTGCATGGGACCCCGACGCATCGCAAAGCAAACTGTGAACTGAGCTTCCATGGGCATTTGCATGCAGAAAGAACTGCACGCAGAACGTGAGAAAAAACTAGCACTTGTGAAGTGAGAGGCTGAGCACACAAGGATATCTGAGGGCACTGGACCTGATGCACCCAAGCTGCCTTGACCGACACTTTGTCAAAAGGTGCAGGTCTGGCAGCTTTGTCCCACTTAGCAACATTAACTGGGGCTAACCAACCCGTTTCGGCAGTGAAAGCAAAATACATTTCCATCACCGAAAAACCTTGCTCATCTGGAACCCATCGATGCCGCGAGCACCAGTCGAATAACAGTTGCGCGAAAGGCGGGCACAACAAGAACACATCCCAGTTTGGGACATTATCTTTACCAGGAAAAACAACCCCTGCGTCAGCAGAAAGCATGCCGACTCTGTCTTGAAAGGTATTTTGCGAGGGGGGGCTTACATGCGGGTTTATTAGATTGCAAAGGTCGCGCAAACGGACGTTTGGTGCCAGCACACACAGGTCGCATCCGTGCCTTAGTTGATGGCTCTTTCGCCACAGATAGGGTTTTGGTTGGTAAGCGTCTGCGTGTTGTCCGATGGGTTTTAGAGTTGGCGCACGCTCGTGCGAAGAGTCCTGTCCAGCCTTGCGTAGGTTGCCACAATTTTGTGGCGCAAGATCTGTAAAGCTCCTGGTTTCCCGGGTGGGTTTAGGGAATGGGTTCTTAACAATGACATTGTTGACTTTGTGCCTTTGGGTATTCCAGATCAGGTGTGGTTGTGTCAGGTAGGGGCTGCCCTACGTTCTGAAGCTGAATGGTGGGATACTGTAGTGAAGAAACAAAAGTCCCATCACATAGTGGAGGCCATGAAGGTTGATTGGTCTTCAGGTGGTCGTTGTCATGCCAGGGCCATTAAAGATGAGCAGCTGCCGCCACTACACAGCATAACAACTTCTCAAACCGTTCACGTGTCTCCAAGGCGAGTTTGCAAAGGCTCACCTGCCAAGTTCACACTAGTTCACGGGAGTGAGTCGATACCAGGGACAGTTTGGTCTTTTGGTTCTGTTAAGCGTGGTGTTGTGTCTTTTAACAAAGGTGTCGTAACTTTGGACCGGCCCATGTGTCAGTCCATGTATTGTAAGTCCGCACAACAGCATTCTTGGTGCGCTGAGCCTGAGGCTGTTTTTGCTTCTGTTGCAAAATACTGGGATGGGTTTTGGTTAAATAGAAAGGAAATTGACATGGATTTTATCCAAACTTTAGCTCAACATTTGCCGGTCATGCCAGCTTTTGATGCAGAAATCACCCTTTCGGAGCTTCAGTGGGCTTTGCGAACGTCCAAAACGGGAACAGCAAGGGGTTTGGATGGTTTTTCGATGCCAGAGTTGAAAGCCATGCCAGAAGTGTTGCAGCAGATGTTACTGTCTTTATTCAACACTGTAACTCGCGTAGGTAAGTGGCCTGAGAAGTTGCTTGATGCTACAGTAGCACTGCTTGCTAAGATTCCTCACCCGACCAGTGCCAAAGATGGCAGACCTATCACTGTACTAACGACTTTGTATCGTGTATGGGCACGCTGCATCGCTGCGAAAATTTATTCCCATCTCAGCCCTGTGTTTCCTGAAGAACTGTACGGGTCAGTACCAGGCAAGTCTGCCATGGACCTTGCATGGGTTCTTCAGAATGAGTTAGAACTTGCACTCCACACCGGCGAGCATGTGGCAGGGTTTTCTTTAGACTTAAGCAAAGCTTATAATACGATCTCCAGGGAAGTAGTTTGTGTCTTGGCATCAAGACTTGGTTGGCCCGCATCCGTTGTCAGCGCTTATGGAAACTTCCTGAGCGGTGTAAGACGTCACTTTCGCATTGGTGGTCAGCTGTTTCCTCCACGCACTAGCTTGACCGGTGTACCTGAAGGATGCCCGCTCGCTGTCTTGTCCATGATAATCATCACGTGGGCAGTGTCCGGTCAGGTGCAAGCTTGCCACGGTTTACCATTGCGATCATACGTTGATAACTGGCGTATACAAGCTTCTGATCCTCAACTTGCTTGTGCGGCCACCAGCACCGTCTCTTCCGTCACCAAAAACTTAGGGATGTCTCTGTCGCCCGACAAGTCAATAGCTTATGCTACTTCTAAGGAATTCCGTGGCATTTTGCGCCGATTTTCTATTGAGGGTGTTTTTATTCCTGTCGCTAATGATTTTGGTGATTTAGGAGTTCAGTTTTGCACCCGCAAAGCATCGTCTGCGAAAGGCTTTCAGGGCCGAGTGGATAAGAATTTAGTTAAGTTGGAGCGCCTTCAAGTGCTGCCTTGGAGTATCGCCAAGAAAGTTGCCTGCTTGACGCGGTTTGTTTTTCCGTCAGCCTTGTATGGGTCGGAGCTGAGCTCGGTGTCCGTTTCTGCTTCAGGTACCTTCCGAGGCAAATGCAACAAAGCTGTTTGGGGATCTGCAAACCAAAGAAATCATTTCCTTGCGCCTTTGCTTGGTGCAAGTGAAATCTATGAGCCATGGATTCATGTCTTTAGGCGGCGCTGGACCACGCTTAAGCGCATGTGGGCCCTGTACCCTGTCGTTCGTAGTGCCTGGAATGTCTTGCTACACAGCCGTGTGTCCAAGTGCGGAGGGCCTCTGACGTATTTCTTCAAGGACATTCGTAGTTTAGGATGGATCCCCCTTCCGGATGGTTGGGTCGAAGTGCCAGGTCAAGTTAAGCTTAGCATCCTTCTGTCTAGTTGGGATATTGTTTATGAACACTGGTTGGAGGCTTGGCAGTGCGAAGTTGTACGAGTTGTGCAAAGTTACCAAGGGTTGGAGGGTCTCCAAAGTTTTTCGGTTCGTTTAGTTCGGCAGTTGCTTCAAACTGGGCACGGTTACGATGCTCAAGTTGCAAACTACGCATGTGGCGCCATAGTGCCGGCATCGCGACGGAAGCATTTTGCAGCACCAGAAGATTTGTTATGCCCTTTTTGTAAAGCTGAGCTTACAGTTGAACATATGCTTGTGCACTGCCCAGCTACGTTGAGTTGCAGAGAATCGCTGACGCTCCCTGCGACTCTGAGCACTTTTGAGTTGCAATGGGGTTTGTTTCAAGAACCACCGGAGTTGCTTCAGTTTAAGAGTTTGATGCGCACCCGTACCTGCGAGACTGTCACAAAGTTTTTTGAAGGCGAAGACGTCCACTTGTTCACAGATGGTTCCACTCTGCATCCGACAGATCCAGTCCTCAGTCTGTCTGCCTGGGCTGTTGTGCTTGCAGAACCTGGGGTGCTGAGCCAAGCCAAAATGCTGCATGATTATGTGCCAGGTGAACATCACACGAACAACAGAGCCGAGACTTTTGCAGTCCTTGCAGCCGTACTTTTGGGGGATGGCGGGGTTATTTACTCCGATTCGGAAGTTGCTGTTGCAGGTTTTAATTTGCTTTTGCAGCATGGCTGGGATATCAGGAAGTTGTGGAAACACAGCAACCTTGATATATGGTTCGAAATTTCCCAAGCACTTAAAACTTGCAGTGGCACTTGGCGGATCGTGAAAGTCAAAAGTCATCAGGATTGGCGCTCAGCGCCTGATGAGCAGCACGCGTGGCTTTGGTTCCACAACGGCGTTGCAGATGAGTATGCCAAAGCGGTGTTTTCTCTAGGATGTAGGGTTTAGGAGTTTAGGGTTTGGCACCTGTGCATGGCCCTTCTCGAACCCTCGACCCCTCAAAGACCCTTGATGACCTTGTAGTTCGTTGAAGCAAACCTGTATAAAGCTCTGATGGAACCCCATCGAGGCCGTTAGGAACCTCGCATCGAACACAAAAGCCCTCTCCTGACCTCAATCCAAAACCCAAATCCAAACCTTTAGACACCTTGTCAAGCCCCAACCCTTGCAGCCCTGCTAGCGAATAATAACTGGGTTGTGCTTTAAACCCTGTGAAAATTATTTATGAATAGGTTCCCTTTATAAGGCAATAAGGGGAATTAAAAATTATCCCAAAGCACAACCCAGATAATCTACACAACTACTAACATAAGCCCAAAGACCCAATTATGAGGTCCTTTGAACCCTTGCGGTGAAACCCTAAACCCCTTACAACACTCTTTCAAGGCACCGCCTTAAGGAAAGCCCGTAAGGAATCCCGCATCCATTAAAGGATTTATAGGAGTTTAGGGCTAAATCCTAAACCCTGAACCCTAAACCCTGTAAACCCCTTTAAGGGTAACTCCGGACCTGCCTTGAAGGAGTCCACGGCCTCGCGACGCTGCCGCACGCGCGCGGCGCGTGCCTTGCCCCCGCAGCAGTGCCGAGATCTGCAACACCCCTTGCTTTGAGGAATAAACCTTTGCATAGAACGGGGACCCTACAGTGACTTAAGTATATTCCTGAACTAAGGGATTCTGGAGTCTCTGAGTGCGGTCTTACCGAGGAGGGCGTTTTAATGACTCGGGTCTACGGTTGGCTCGGAGTTTGGGGTCTAAGGTTCCGTTTCGGGGCTTGCCTTGCTCTAACAGAAACCTCCCAAAAACCTTTGATCTTGGAACAACGATACTAAGACCATTAACTATAAATTGCACGTATCCAGTACGGATACAGTATTTTATGAAGAAAGTGCCGGCAATAAATCGCGATTGAAAGCACTGGGCCTGGGTAGAGTATGTTGCACCTTGTCCTACTCGGACACGGTTTAGGGTTTAGGGCTTAGGGTTTTGGGGTTTAGGGTTTAGGGTTTTATGTACCGATATAGTAGAATCTAGGGTTTCCATATTAGGAATTACTTCTATGACTTAGGGAAGTATCCCCCATAACAGTACATAGAGCCCTTTGAAACCCCAAAAATTGAGAAACCCTAAACCCTCAACAAAGCCACAGATCGAGCCTCCTGGCGGCTGGCAACCTGGGATTGAATAAACCCTAAGGGTCCACGTCCTCATATAGTACATACATTGGCCTTACAGTACTCCCTATATAGGTACATTGGGCCCAAAGTATATGCTATATGGGCACATGGACCCTTAGGGAAACTCGCACCTGGGGTTGGTTACTTAGCTGCTTGTCCAGCATCCCCAGAAACTCCAAAGTCCCTTAAATAGGGAATAGACCCTAAATCATAACAGGGACCCTAGTGTGATTTAAGGTATATTCCTTAATCAAGGGGTTTTGGAGTTCTGGGTCCTTTAAGGGTTCCTGTCAGGTACCAGACGGGCACTCTAAGTTTTCTAAAGGGTCCACGGATAAAGTGCCCATGTACTCATTGCGAATACCTACTTGTTCAATATCCTAAAAACCTAAAGGTGAACGTGTGGGAGTAGTTTAGGACTACATAGGGGTTGCTGTACCCCAGAAAAGTTAAAGGTTGCCTACGCCACTAATTGGCCTATAACTGTCCTATCGGATCTTTGGTTTCAGTTTGTAGTAAGCTGAATAAATCTTCATGCTGTCTGTCCTTCTGGCATGCTCCGAACGGGGGGGCTTAAAGTCCTTGCAGCATTTCAACAGCGGAAAAGTCATACCGTGAAGGGCACACATATGTACAAGTTTCGAGCTCTAGCAAGCAAAGATCATGCCGTGCAGCAGATTTCGGTGTGTGCAAGGTTGTTTTGTGCTTTTAGCTCTGGTTTAGGACGGTAACTGAAGGTTGCCAGCGTCAGTTCTAAGCTCTGGTTGGGTCAACCTGCGGCGTGGGTTTGCCGACCCGAATGAACACCCCCCAAAAAAGAAACCGAAGCGGGCCAATGGGTTAAACCCATACCCACTGATAGTGACCACAAGGATGCGCATGTTAAATCAGTTTAGCATTCTTGGGTAGGAGCCCAAACTAAAGTCCCAAAGGTCTATAGAAGTTACAGAGGCGAAGAGGCCCCAGTTGCTGTAGAATCCAAGCCTAAGGCACGACCCACCAGCCCTGCAACGAAATACGACACCCGAAAAGCAAATCAGCCTTACTCGATCAAAGCGAACAGCCGAATAGCCTAAAAGCCCTACAAAGCTGAGATATGAACCCTTATAAATAAATCCAAAACCAAAAACCTCTGAGGCCCCGGTTGCCATGGTACCCTTCCTGATATTGGGTTTTAACAAGGGAGCCCTACTTTCAAAAAAGGGCAAAAGGGTACTGGCTCTGGTTTTAAACCCTAATATAGACTTTTCAGGGACCCTACACAAATGTAGGTTTGAATGCCTTTTTCGGCCATAAGACCCATTGACGCAACCCTTCGCAGCCTGAAAAAGAGCCCCCGCAAAGCACATAAGCAGGGAGATCCTATATAAAACCCCCTACAGGGAACTACAGAAAGTTGGAATATGGTTTCAGGGTAGGATACCCTATAATTTACCATAGAAGGCTTAGGATAATCATATTCCAACTTTCTGGCTTTTACTTTATAACGAAGCCCAATAGGGTAGGGACCCTACGGGTCCAAGTACCTAACTATCATATCCTCGCCGTAGTAACCTACATAACTACTATCCTAAACACCAGCACCTAATTATTGGATCCTTTGTACCCTACAAAGGGAGGTCGGGGGACTTCGTAAGTAGGTAGAAAGTGGCCTTATAAGTATCCTGAAAGGGACCCTAATTTGGGTTATGGTACTTATAAGCCTATAGAATAACTACGTACTAAGTCCCCCGACCCTCCAAGTAGGGGGGATATCCATGGTTATGTCCTTTTTGTAGGGCCCAAAAAAGCACATGAGCAAAAATTAGGGTAGGGATATCCCATATAAACCCCCTCATAATGAAGCCAAATAAGGTAGGGATATCCCCATAAATGCTTATGCTTCTGTCCTTTTTCGGGGTCCCTATGTAAACTGGGTCCCTATAAACAAAGAGCGAGCGGCCGCAGGATCGGCTGGGGCATCTTCTCCTGCCGGGTGTCTACGGCTCAGGTAGGGTTCAGGGTTCAGGGGCTTTGGGGGGTAAAGGTTTAGGGGTTTAGGGGTTTAAGGTTTAAGGTTAGTTTAGGGTTCAGGGGTTTAGGGTTTAGGGGCTTTGGGGTAAAGATTTACGGGTTTAGGGGTTTAAGCTTAGTTTAGGGTTTAGGGTTCAGGGTTGAAGGTGTAGGGCTTGGGGTGTCTACGGTTCAAGGCGTCGGGGACCAGAGGTCTAACTTAAATGGGGTTTAAGGTTCAAACTCAAGATTTAGCGTTTGGGGTCTATGATCAGGTTCAGGGTTTAGAAACGTTTGGGGCTTGGTTTGTGGTGGGGTGCAAAGAGTTTCTGGGTGCATAGAGTTGTTGGCTGCAGCAGTCTTCGACTTTAGACGTCGGTTTTCGAGGGGCCATACTGTAGGGGCCAGAATACTTAGAACACGGGTTTGGGGCAAATTATACAACCACTATAATAAGGAGCCCTAGGAATAATATCACGTCCCTATATCAGGGTTGGGGCTTCATCTGCTAGGTCTTTCGCTTTCGGTCGTCGGCGCGGCGTATGACTGCGTCCTACTGTTGCTGAACAAACCCCTGCAGTACCCTGCCCTAAGATGCATGCACTCATATAGTACATATTGGCCTTAAAATACTCCCTATATAGGTACATTGGGCCCAAAGTATATGCTATAATAAGGGCACATGGACCCTTAGGGCTACTTCATGACAGCCATTGCAAACTCGGATTCTGGTAAAATGCAGATAATGTTCGTTGGTTCTCTTCATATCAGCAACCCTAAACCCTAAACCTCCACGCCGAAAAAGAAGAAACCCAACGCAGGCGCTACGGCAGAACAGCGCCTACCACTCGTCGCAGTTGCTGTCTCGCGTGATGAGTTAGATTGCTTCGTAGAAGCAGATTCGGAACACGAGCCTTTTTTCCCCAAGGATCCAATGTACTCATATAGTACATACATTGGCCTTAAAGTATTCCCTATATAGCTACATTGGGCCCAAATTATATGCTATATGGGCACATGGACCCTTTGGGTTTTACTAGATTTCTGGCAATTCCTAGTTTCGCAGGGCCTGCGGAGGGCCAGAAAAGGAAACCTCGGCTATCCGCGTTGACAATGGACATGCTCACCGTGCTCACCGTGCATTTCCTTACTTATCCAACAAGCCGATTCCTACTAAACTTTTTTTAAACTATAAGAACCCAAAAAGTTAAAAGGCTGGGTATTGGGGATCTAGGTTTCAGGGTGGGTACCTGTTAGGGCAGCTCTTGCCAAAGGAAGGCATTTCTCCACAGTAGGGTTTACCTACAGTCTCATACTCTACCCCTTTTTTATGGCGCCTACTTTTTAAGACAACAGATCCTCACCATAAAACTAGGTATCCTAAAAAAAGGGTAGGGTATGAGCCTCTAGGTACGTCACAGCACCTGGCAGGTGCTGCGAGTGATCCCATGCTCAGCAGCTCCGGTGCTGGGCCAAAGATTTGTCAGATTCCAAAAAGAGGGGACCCTAATATGGTACCCTAAATAGTAGGATCCTTATCCGCCGACCCTGGCGGCGTGTTGGATGGGTTTCGATGGGCTAACCTCCCTTTTTCCCTCCTCCCGGGCGCACCAGGGGGGGGGCAGCACCCAAGCCCCCAAAAGCATCACACCACAGCCCATTGGGTTGAAATCAGTTCACTGTAGGAGACCACCATTTTTTTTATCCTTTTCCTGCTTTCCGAATCCCCCTCTCCCCGCCCCCCCTCCCCCCTCCCCCCCCGCCTCCCTCCCCCTCCCCCCCCCTCCCCCCTCCCTTCCGCCCCCTTTCCCCCCCCACCTCCTATTCGCGTGATCGTCGCGCAGCCTCGCGTGCTTCCGCCTCCACAATCTTAGAAGCGCACCAGCGAAGCTTGTCAACTTGAAGGTTCCCGTTTGGTCTCACAATCTTACTAGAACTAAACCTCCGGGCCTCGCGGACACCAAACGACTTTGCCTGTACAAGTGCATTCGGCTTCTGGTCTGTCGCCCACGGGGTCGGCGGCTTGAGCCGGAGGCCCTTAAATCGGGCAGCGCTTCGCTGCCCTGTATGGACTGAGCTATGGCTCAGACGAATGGGCTTGTCTTGCGAAGCAAAAGCCACGACGGCTTGTGCCGCCGACCCGCCGCCGACCCCGCATCATCGGACCTCCGTTTCTCCATCGGGCCGCGCGGGCCCTGGCCCGGAGGCGTCTCGGAACGCGCACGCGCTTCGCAGCCATTCCCGACGGCATGGCGGGTTTCGGGGTCGCCGTGGACGACCCCAGGAGGCGAGCCGGCGAGCATCATGAGCACTCGGGCGCCCGCAACCGGCCCCGCGGCGCGAAGTGGGCGCGAAGTGATGATTTCCAAGTTTTTGCGTGGGTTGCGGAAGCCCCAAAAGGGCGCGCATCATCAGCATCAGCGGGGTCCGGCGGAGGGCGGATGCGGGCTACATGGAGGGCCGACGAGGGCTAAGAGTAAGATCACCCATAAGCTGTGCACTTCGGGCCTACGTCACACTTTTGTTCCGGTGTCGAGCTGTCGTTGTCTCGGCACCGTCTGGAAATTTTGACCTTGTCTTTCCCGTTCCCCCGCTACATCCGCTGACAACAACTCGCGCTGCCCGCACCTGGGCGCAGCCCCTAGAATTATAAGGACCCCAGAATATGGTACCCCTATTTTCGGAAACTCCCATTTCTTGAAAAAGATTCAACCATCAGCCGGTTAGAAGTTCCAGGGGCGCAGCTCGTTGCCGCACCGCGAATTAAAAGCATTCTTGTCAACGATAAGCTCGACCAAGGTGCAAGCTGCAGATCTCGACTGCACACTCTGCGCCTCTCGCTTTTTAACACTTCCGGCGCCATGTATGCCAGCGTACCGGCAAGGTATGCTTGCTCCTTTGCACCCATCGCCAGAGTGCCCAATATCGTACAATCGAAGAACAGTCCTTCCGACCATGATCTGCATGATACAGGGTTGCATGATGTGACTAGTACTCCTGAGTCATAATATATTAAGGGTCTGAGACCTTAACGGCTCAACCTTCAAATTAGAAAGTCCAACAATACACGAGGGAGTCTGCATATGTTGCTAGTACTTGCACCCTGAGGGCAAACTCGGGTACATCACAAAAAATGATACCGCACACCTTTGGGATTTGTGTGTGCGGCATACTTGGACCCTGAAACCAATTTCGGGTACCCCAAAAAGACTGAGACCACACACAGACAAGCGTGATTGCTAAGCAAAAAGACCTGCCTAAACCCTTAACCCTACACACCCTAAGAGCGGCCCCAAATCAAAAACCGAAGCCCCAAGTCTAAACAGTCAACCTCCCTGAAAACCCTTGCCACAGCCGTGGCCCGAAACCCTAATGAACCCGTGCCCTGAACTCTTCATAAGAGAAAACTGTGACGAAGCCTTTCCCATAAGGGTCCATGTATCCGTATGAGTATACTTTGGCCCTAAAGTACAATATAGGGACTGCTTTGCAGCGAATGTATATATAGTATTTGGGCACATAGACCCTTAGGGTTACACCCCCCCAAATACCGTCTATTCAGGACCCTGCAGGCTTCTAAACCCTAAACCCTAGCCAGCCCTAGCCCTAAACCCTGTAAAGCCTGAAACCTATAGTTGTTGTAAACCACTGCACACACGCACTGTTGTATATACCCGTCCAAGTGATAACAGCACGGCTTGTACCATTCGGTCACTACCTTTTTCCTGTTAGAGCACTTGTGCCACAATGCAGTACACACAACATGCTACTTCACACGTGCACAAATTACACCCCCCTCGCCGAAGCGTCAGTCTGAGGCGCAAACATGCACGGAAGCTTGGTGCTGTGTGGCCTGCCGTAAAGGCGGCTGGATTGTGGCTCGGGGCTCATAGGCTTTCTACTACCGTAAAGAGGAAGATACGGAAGCAGATTAATTCTTTTAGCGCGCAGTTTAAAGTCGCGACATGCATTATAAAATGGCGACGATCCAGCAAGCCTTGAATGATGGCGTGGATACGAGTCGCAAGACATGTGCAGCATGGGACGAATACATCATCCGCTGGAGCTGCTGACGAATCCCCTCGAGGTCCAAAGACCTGGTGTCGGAGTTGTCACAAAGTGACTGCCAGATGATGCAAGATGAAATTTTTCTGGTCTTAAGGAAATTCGGCCACCTCTAAGAGGGGCTGTATTTCGGAGTACCGGTTAACGTGACGGAACCACGAAATGTGGGTCAGGTACTTAGTACCATCCCCGGGAACCGGAGGAGCGCCCATAGGGGTGGGATCCTCGCTGGTAGCCGCGATCCCATCCCTGCTCCTGGTAGCGCTGCTGCTCTGCTCTGCGGGCATCAGCTTTGGCTTGAGCGATGCGAGAGCGTTCAGCGTTGCGCTGTCGTTCCTCGTATGCACGGCGTGCAATTCCCACCTGTTCCGCGAATTTCTCACGGAGCCACTCAGTCCAGTCCTCAGCAGAGTAGCCGAGTCTTGGATCAACATAGAGTGCCTCTTCTGAGAAAGTAACAATCATCTTGACGATTTTGTGCTGGAGGAAAACATCTACGAATTTGCGTAAACTGTATGCCCCTCCCAGCCACATGATGCAAAATGGATCGTCACTCACTGCGGAGATCAGGCCTGCCCTAAGGGCGGCTGGATTGCAGTCGTGCAGGTAGAGCAAACGAGCGATCTCCTGGTTCCGTGGCCCTTCGGAGCTTCCACCATAGGTTCCGACAGCTAACTGTCGTTGCTCCTTTGAACGGCCATGGTTCGGCAAGGCAGCATGCGTAAGCACGTCTTCGATGGCCAGGAACTCTCGATCGTACCCATTGCCGATGGAACTCATTGTGTAGTCCACATCGTTATCGAACCGGTGTACGATGCTTGTGTAGCCTCCCTTGGTAGCCATCTTGAGCTGCTGCCGGGCTTTGTCCAGCGCCTCTGCGTCGAGCGATGTCGTTCCCCGCTGTGTTGAAG